ATTTATGATTAGTAGTATCAATATTGAAAACAGCTGTGCTGCTTCATATTTATGTGGAAACTGTGATACACCACCATTCAAAAGTATGGGCTAAGATTAAAACAAATATATATATTTTTTATTCCGCAAGGATGCATTAAATTGAACAAAAGTGACAACAAAAGATTTCTAATATTAAATAAATGCTCTTATTTTAACTTTCTATTCACCAAAGAATCCTGAAAAAAAATTTAATAAAAAAATATCAAGCAGCAAAAATTGTTGTATAGAGAGAGAGCAGCAAATCATCATATCAGAATGATTTCTGAAGAATCATGTGACACTGAAGACTGGAGCAATGATGCTGAAAACTCAGCTTTGATCACAATATATTCAAATAGAAATAATTTATTTTCAATTGTTACAATTTTTCTCAATATACTTGTAAGTTTTTTATGGTATTTTAAATAGTTTATTAATTATTTTAAAGTTTTGTTTTTTTTTTCAAATAAATGTAGCCTTGGTGAGTATAAGAGACTTCTTTCCAGAACGTTAAAACATTCTAATTATTCCAAATTATTATTCCAATTATTCTTTTGTGCGGTAATGCGTGAGCTTTATTTTGCTTAGAGCACAGAGATGCTGAGCCGTGTCAGCTGAAGGGCTCTGCAGCTGATTTTGCGCACAATGAAATCCAGCAGAGACGTTTGAAGTCCCCTGGCTGCTGTTTCACAGTAAACCACCCCCACTCTGCAGCAGCTCCGCAGCCCCTCCCCCCGCGTGATGTCACAGCTCAGAGTGTCCCGCAGGAGGCGTGTCCTCCCATTTCTGGCTGAGCCTCACAGTCTGCGCAGGGAACAGGAAGAGAGCGAGAGAGTGTACGAGTGTATGAGTGTGAGGACGGGAGCTCGCTGTACTTTGGTAGGGACTGAGGGCAGCCATGGGGAATTCACAAAAGAAGGGCCCCGGTCACGGAGAGGGAGGGGGCCCGCACTCTCAACCTGGGACCCCGGGGTACAAGAGGAGCCATGGAAACAACACAGCCAACTCAAAGGATGTCCAAGGGAAGAGCTCGGCAGTGAATGGCACCCTTCCAGCCGGCAAGAGCCAGGATGAGCCTCAGGGCTCTGGTCCGGCACACAGTGGCACTGCTGGGGCGAGCTGTAATCTGGACGCCCCGTGTGGGGCCCTTCCTCTTCCACTGGCCAGGCTCAAAAACGAGGGCAATATGTTGTTCAAAAATGGACAGTTTGGGGACGCGCTGGAGAAATACACACAGGCCATTGACGGATGTATAGAAGCTGGTAGAGTACAAATATTCTGTACTTCTTGTCAAAGTCATACATGATGTTTGTGTTGAAACAGTAGATATAACAGTCTTTGGTTTTACCAAGATTAGACATTTTTGGTAAGATGGCTATTTTGGCAAGGTGATCATTGTTTTTCTAGTTTACTGACATAAAGGTACTGTTTTTTAATGATGAAGTATTTTGTGTTTAATTATCTTGAAATAGTATATTTGACAGATTTTGGGTGTCACCAAAATGGCATTTTTGGCATATTTTACCAATTTATGTTTTAGTTAACCAGCATATTTCAACGATTCAGGTGGGGTACAAGTATTAACCTCAAAATAATATATTATATGTGTATGCTAAAATAGTATATTTAACCATTTTTGGTGTCACCACAATGCCATTTTTGGCAAGGTGGTATTTTATAGTATCTATTTTCCTACTATTTATAGTATATTTCAAATGAATCAGCATGTTTCAATCATTCTGGTTGGGTAACACGTATTCTGTGTTAAAGTAACTTGAATTAATATATGATGCCTGTGTTAAAATAGTATATTTAACAGATTTTGGTATTACCAAGATGGTATTTTTGGTAAGGTCATAGTTTTGGCATAGCTGTGGTTGTTTTTATAGTATACTGACTTAAAAGCAGTTGGTTTTAAATGATTCTTTAAGTATTTTGTGCTCAAGTATATTGAAATGATGTTAATAATATAATATATTTAACAGATTTTGGTTTCAGCAAAGTGGCATTGTTGGCAAGGTGACAATATTTTGATACTTGTTTATAGTATACTGGCTTAAAAGTACTGTATTTTTCAAATGATCCAACATCTTTCAATGACTCTGGTGGGGTACAAGTATTTAGCTATATTATATGTGTGCATGAATAGTATGTTTAACAGTTTTTGGTGACTGGGTGTTTCCAAATGAACAAGCACATTTAAATGAATCGTGTTGTGTTGTAGTGTGAATCACAAAAGCATCTATTGCGCAAACATTGCGTAGATCCTGTTTAGCAGCGTTGAGTACTGCAGGGGAAGCAATCCGATACCGGTTCATAGAGAGGCTCTGTTGTCTAGATGTCCCATGGAAAAGGTCTTAACCCGCTGTTCATCGAGCCACTGCATTTTGGGGACTAAAGCTGCATTGTTGTGAAATAGAAGTGAACGCGTTTCACAAGACTGACACTTCCGCAACAGTGCATTGTGGGTGTGTCCACTAAAGTTACGTAATGGGCCTTTTGAAAGCAGGGATGCACCGTCTTTCTAAACTCAGCTTCCCCAGAGTGTTTACTCTATGACTAGTTGGGTTTGTAACATGATATCAGGTGACTAAATGAAATGTATTCCAGCATAAATGGCTGCCTTAACACTGAACCCTTCCTCCCACTTGTATCCATGCAGATCTAAAGCTGCTTTCTGAGTCTATTTTCAGTGCTGTGCTTGTATTTGCAGGTATCGACAGCCCAGAGGATCTTTGTATTCTGTACTCCAATAGAGCTGCTTGCTACCTCAAAGATGGAAACAGCGCAGACTGCATTCAGGACTGCACCAGGTTAACCACACATTTACATACTCGCTCTGTTCAGCTGCCAATCTCTCAATGACCAGACTTTCACAGAATAACGAGAGCCACAGTGCTGCGTTTAGCTTGGATTTACGTGTGAGGTAATAAGTGCGTCTCAGAAAGATTAACACCCAGCGCAGTTAGTTGCCCTGTAAGGAGCTTTACCAGCAGACTGGTTAACCGTGACTAAGATCCTCGGCAGGCTGTTACCATGTTCTGCTCCTTTGGAGGGAAATAATAAAATGTCATTGAGTCTTGTAATCATACTGTACTTTCCGCTGTCCTGTTTGGACGCATCCATTCTTTAATCCTATAGAGGAGTGAATCGCAACCTTTTGGCGTACCGGACCCCAGTCCAATTCAGAACCATCCTCAAGGACCCCCAGAACAAAATTGACTAATCTATGTATCATTTGTGTCTTTGTGAGGACCAAATACAGTCAAGTATATTTCAAGTTAGCTGACTTGTCCAGTATTTGGCCATATCATCAGCTTTATTGGACTTTTCTTTCATGGGAACATGTCATGTCAAAATATACAAAATTCATACTTTATATGGACACCCTGGCCTTACTTCAAGGACCACTAGGGGTCCACACTGCTATAGAGGAAAGACAGGGAAATGATGCGAGCTTTAGGTATATTATACAAAATGGGTATAT